GTTAGATAGAAATCTTTCTAAAATGCATAATATAACTTCTTAATCAGAACATATGCCATAGAATGTTCTCTTTTGATTTTTTTTCTATGCTCAATTTTTCCAGTTACCTTTCCTGCTCATTGCTACAGACAGCCTCAATTCACTTCTATACCAAATCCTTCTTCTCTCTCCCAATGTGATGCTTATAGTGCTCTTTGTGAATGGGTTAATGAGGTCAGTGAAGCTGTGTGTAAACTAAGAGTAAGTGAGAACTGGGTGAGACCCAGGGCTCTGTTCTGAGGGTAACCCAGGAGCTTCTATGCCTAAACTTTCTTTTTTCCCAATCAGAGGTCATTATGGCTTACTTTTTTATTGTAATTGTGGGGCAGATATTTTCCCTTTGGAGAGCTCAGGAGGTACTATATGCTTTAGGTGCTCTGAGTCAGGCACCGTGAAATTCAGGAAGGAGGAGGAGTAAACCCACACTCTCTAGAGCAGGGGCCATGCCCTGTGGTCCTGGGGTCCAGCCCAGTGCCTGACAACATCGAGGTGCTCAATTAATATTTTTGAATGAACACTGTCCTTTCCATAGTCACCTTAATGCAGACTTTGAAGTTTTGCCTTGCATACAGTTATTCCCTTTGTTTGGATTTCCCTCTGTCCCTCTCTCTTCTCTGGGAAGTCTTCTCTCCCCATTAGACCATGTCCATTTTGTCTGCAATATGTTGTAATGTCTTTCATGTAGCTCTTAGGTGTAAAACAGACAGAATATTATTCCCATGAAAATATACATTAAAAACCCTCTTTTAACTCTAAATAAGTCAGGCAGAGAAAGACAAATACCATATGATTACACTTATATGTTGAATGTAAAAAAAACACAGAAACAAACAAAAAACCAGACTCATAGATACAAAGAACACACTGATGGCTGCCAGAGGGGTGGGGGGTTGGGGGACTAGGTGAAAAATGTGAAGACATTAGGAAGTACAGATTGGTAGTTACAAAACAGTCATGGGGATGTAAAGTACAGCATAGCGAGTGTAGTAAAAAATATTGTAATAACTATGTACAGTGCCAGGTCGGAACTTGAAATATCAGGAAGATCATTTTGCAAAGGACATGACTGTCTGACCACTATGCTGTACACCTGAAACTAATACAAAATAATATTAAATGTTCACTGTAATTGAAAAATAATATAAAAATGCAAATGAAAATGTTAATCAGATATAAAAATATCAAAAATAAAAGCTATTTGTAAAACCTTCCGCCCCAAGCCCCTCTTTTAGAAACACTTTTACTTTTATTATTTTTTGAAACATTTTTACTTTTAGAAGAGGTGACTCATAGGTCAAAATTAAACTCTAGTAGAATGAAAGTGATAAAAAAATGGAATGGTTCATACATTTCTGGTAGAAAATCTTTTGGAAGGCGATTTGAAAACACAGATCAAGGACCTTAAAAATGTTCATACTCCTTGGTCCACTAATGCCACTTCTAAGAATTTGTCTGAGGAAAATGACCGTTCCACACAGAGATTTGTGTTACAGAGTGTTTATTGCGTAGAGGGTGCAACCCCGCGTGCTCTGACCCCCTGACCGTTGCAGCCCCCTCTGCTGGGCGGGCTGCAGGGAGCAATTCCCTGGCTCAGCGGGAGACCTCTTTTCAGCCATTAACAGTCTCTGCAAGTCATGAGAGTCTGGGAACATTACCTTTGGTCTATTTCATTTTCTCTTCAGATTAAAGAAAAAGAAAAAGGTACAGTCTATTTAGCTAGATAGAGGGAAAATAGGGAAAAATAAACAGAAAAACTTTCTATTCTCTTCTCAGACTTTTTATTTGGAGTAGTCTCTCAGACACAGAATGGGACTTTTAAGTATTGAGGTCTTGTTACATAATGTTTTTAATGAAGACTCTTTTGCCGATGGTTTCAAAGACTGTAACACAGACGTGGTGGCTATTTAATGAATTACTTTAAAGATATATATGACCAGGGTTGTGGGCTGTATTTTTAAACTTTGTTAACATTCCTTATTGCTTACAGTTATATTTCTTCTTAAGTCAAGGTACTTTGGTTTAGACTACAATAGACCTTATTTGCATGGCTGTTATAGGTACATCCCCAAGAACTTTGCTTTCAAGGAACTAACCAAACATGTATTTTCCTTTCCTCTTTTCTTTTAACAACACATTCTTTATAATTTACATTGAATTAAATTATTTTTCATTGTTTTCCCGACCATTTCTCCTATACAAATTGTCTTCTTGCTGGTCCCCTTTCCCTCTTTTGCACTGTTTGTCATAACCTGCAAATGCAACTGTGTGTGTCTATTTCTTTAAGGCCCGTCTCTCTTCCCAGGCAGCAGGGGCGATGTCTGCTTCACACGCTGCACCCACAGCCCGGTACACAGTGGGCACTTATCAAACACTGCCCGACAAATAGGTAAACAGACAAATTTGTTTTGAAAAAAATGATGAGACTTCATAACAGTGTGGACATTTGATTTTCTCTGCTAATGTTACCTTTAGGTCAGCAGAAGGTTTTATGACAGTTCAAAGAGTGTAAGTGGTAAGTGATTTAAGTCTCAGACTGAATGCATGTAAATACAAGTTCAGCTTGCTGTCACCTATGAATTGTATCCTTCTGAGATGCAGACTTTTTGTTTTGAACTTTGGAAAGAGATTAACTCCTGCTAAGAAGAATGCAAAAGACTTTGTTACAGTAGAAAGTCAAAACCAACCACCACATTACCCCCGATAGCAGCAAAAAAAAAAAAAAAATCTCCAAATTAAACCTTTCCAGGAACTATAGAAAATAATATTAATAAAGCATATGTTTAGTTAGTATATCAACACTCCATCAATGGCATTTTTCTCATTGGCTTCTAAAAAACAAAAACAAGATATAATTCTTTAATTCTATAGGTTTTCTGTATTGTTACAGATTGAATAAATCTTTTTTTTTTTTTTTCAAAAACGAGCTATTCATTATATTTTATCTTGCTTTCTAAATCTTGTCTCACTGTTTAAATGAATTAGGATGAGGGAGAAACAAATAGAACAAACCAAAGTTTATGGAGAAAGTATGTGTGTGAACTTTATTTCATCATGAGAAAATCACTTCTGTGCAGTAACAGAGAATACTGATATCTACACGATGATGAGGTTTTCTTTGTATTTAGATACATACCTTATATTTGTACACAATATATAAAATTCATGGAGGAAATTGTTTTCTACAGTACAGTTTCTTTGTTGGAAGAGGACTTGTTCCATTAGTTTCTTTTAGGAAACGACCCCCAGTTCTGTGACTGTGGTACCAAGGATCGCAGTTCCAATTTTGTAATTTATTAGACACCATAATCTTATGAACGTTAAGTGAAAGCTAGAAACTACATCCTCCTGCAGGATGAAAAGAGAGACGTGAGTGCTCAGGCTGCTATGCTAATAACTGATGTTAGCAGAATAGTATGATTTCCACGTATGAATAGAAATAGTTTTCCATAAGTCTGATGACACGTATTAGTAACATTGCTGCGAATGGTCTCCCTGCTCTGATGGCATGCACCTTACTCTTCAGTCCAACACCCTGTACACACAGGGGAAACCAGGCCATCACCACGAAGGCCTTCTGCACCGTGTCTGAGAACCCCTGGAGGGCTTCAGCAGTTGGCATGGTACTTTGGGACAGGAGGCGACTGCTCTCACCCCAGAGAGAAGTTGCTAAAACGATCATTCTGGGGGAGGCTCTAGCTACCACATCCCTGTAACCCAAATGGAAACAGACCGTGTGGGCATTTTCCTTTCAGGAAATCCTTCTCTTTGAACAGCAGCCCTCATGGACTTACGACTGCTCCCCACGCATGGTTTTCACAGCCAGGGGCCTGTCAACCTTGCTGTGGGATTGGGAGTTGTGCTTGTTTTTAACCATGTGAACCTTTTTAGGGGTGACTGGCACAGGCTGAGGCTCCTGGGAAGTGGGGGAAGAAACACCACCCTAGTTCTGTTAGCTAACGCCTTGAATTTGACCCAAATCAGCATAATTACTTCTGCAGAGGGAAGTTATGGAGAATGCCAGTGGTATTGGGGGTGACTTCTATAATTAAAATCATACCCAGAAGTTCTGAAAATGCTTTGGCACCAACCAAAAATACTTCTTCATAATTTTAATTTCATGTGTCACAATTGCTTTTAAAATGAAAATGTTAAAAGCATCAGAGGTGATACCTGGTCATTACGTTCGAGCCTCTCTTCTGAGATGGATGGCTAGCCTTTGATGATCACAATATTTACAGTATAGCCAAGAAGCAAAAGTTCTCTAGAGATTGACCTTTCATGGTGGCCCGAGGCAGCCTAACCAAGCCTAGAGGGACTGGCAAAGATGCAAAAGGTGAGGTAATGTGGAGTTGCTGGTCTCTTCCCATCTGGTACCCATAGGGAGCCTCAGTCCTGGTGCTGCCAGCCTGGGCTTTGGGTGTGAAATGGAAGCAGTCCGTGCTGGTTAAGCCAGGAGTAGCCGACAGGCCCTTCGGAACACCTCTAGCACCCTACACCCCTTAGAAACATGGTCAGTCAGACAAACCCGCAGCTGGAAAGAACCTCGGCCCCACCCTCAGGAACAAACAAGCACTAGAAGGCAATTTAGAATCATCTGGACAAATAACGTGTATCATGGAGAATGGGAGCCTGCCCTAGAGCCTACGTACATTGGTCTCACACACTGGGGGGCATTCAGGCCTTCGTTTTTCAGCTTCTTCAACTGCAGCTTATTTAGAGTGTTACCAAAGGGAGCCGACGGCCCAAGCCATTTGAACTGCCGCTGTGGACTCTTTGGTTTGACACATCCACATACCAGGGGCTCTCTAGCGGCGGGAGAGGAACAGTGGCCTGTGCCAGCGTGCAGAGCAAGTCATGGAAACACTTCAGAGTGTGGGCAGTGGTGGGGTTACCTCCGGCTCGCCAGCCACGTTAGACGCCTCGCAGCTCTCGCTCTGAGGGGTACTGCTGAAGGGCCTTACCCTCAGACGTTTGGAGGACCAGGGTCTTGCTGTACTGGCTGACTCCTGTTTTGTTGAAGGCCTTGATGCGAGCGTTGTATGTGCTGTTGAAGTGAAGACCATCCACGGTGCACATTGTCTCCTTTCCGACATATACTTCCTGAGGGTCAACAAATAACAGGCCACCATTTAACAGGGACCCTTGTGAGGAGTTAGGGAGGTAGTGTTGCCCAGTGGTTAGGAGCAAGTGCTTTGGTATCAGCCTGATCTGGACTTGAATCCTGTGAGATATTCGGGCCATTTAATTGACCCCTTTTAGCCTCAGTTTCCTCATCTGTAAGGTCGGTATAGTAATACCCACCTTATGAGGTTGGTGTGAAGATTATACAAGGTCATATGAGAAAAATGACTAGAATTTGTATTGTATTTAGTGCCTTGTATTTAGCATGGGCATGGCAGCTTAATGAATGGGAGTTATTAGCAGCTAGGGCTTAAAAGAATTAAAACTGGGTGTTCTAGGCAGCATTATACTTATTAACATGGCATTTATACAGTGTGTTATACCTACAAGCTCTTTATCAGTGTGATTTGTAAAAAAACAGGCTTGAAAACATGAGGGTAGTCTCTATGCTGTGTTATAAGTCCACTAACGACTTCTGGAACTGTTACAAAGACTATACACTCAAAGCCATAGGACTATAGGTTTTCATCACAGTTCAGAGGAAGGGGAAGCAAACAGGGAAGGGAGGAAGAATGACATTTCAAAGGCTTAAAATAAATCCTAGCATAATGCATCTTTAGCATAGGTTAGGCATTTACCTCCCTCTTTAGCTGTTCGTTTTGCAACATTATGCTGATGTAATGAGTAAAAATAATTCATGTTCAAAGCACAGCCTTAAAACAACAACTCTCCAGCAGGACACTAAGAAGATGGGAATCTGGGATGGCAGCATGCTAAGAATTTTGTGTGAATTATCTAAATGACTCTTAACAATCTGTGAGATACATGTCATTATCATCCCCACTTTACAGCTGAGGATGTGAAGGCTCAGTGAGATGAGAAATGGGCACAGTCCCACAGTGAGGTGGTGGAGTTTGGAGCTGAATGCAGGCATTCTGACTCCAGAGCTTGCAGTGCTGCACATACTTTCTCTTAAGAAGGGTCATTTCTATTCAGAGACTCCTTCATCCACCTTTGATATGGTACAAGGGCAGGCAGGCCCTGCCAGGGTGGCCTGCCCCAGGAGAGGTGGTATAGGTGGGCCTGAGACTCCATGGCGGGTCCTCTGAGTTGTCACTGGTTTTGGTCAACAAGGAGTAGGCACTCGGCTTACCCGGAACTGACCACCGTTGCCATCATCCAGCTCCAGAATGTATCCTTCAGCGGGCACCGTGGACAGAGGCGGCTGCTTCCAGGACAGTGTAGCGCTGTTGTTGTGGGTGCAGCACTCCTCCAGCTGTAGGATGGGAGTTGCTGGGACTGGAGAGGAAGCTAAAAGGAAATTAGTGTAACTCTGGCTTCTGTTGAGCTGCAAACATTTCAGTATCCTGGAATGATAAACATCCCTCTGATAAACACGTGACTGAGTAGCTAGCCCCCAAGTGCTAGTCTCTAGGGGTGGAACTGCTTCCTGAGCTGCTGCCTTTTCCCAAGTCCAAGGTGGTACTACCTGCCCACCTTAATTAAAAAGGAGACAAGTGCTCTGTTCTCACTCCATAGAGCATCAAAGACATCATCCCTAAGGAAATGTTTTACATGGGGGATAGATTTCCAGTCCAGGCCAGTAAAGCCTATTTAACCCATACCATGGCTGATAAATTTATCACAGAATTTATTCTGAGCCCTAAACCTCAAGTTTATAAACTTGGAATTGTCCATTCTGAGAAATATCTCTGAAACCAGTATATTTCTAAGGTTCTATCTTTTTTTTTAAACCAGTGATTATACTCAAGGCCTTGTGTGTATAAATAGCTAAGAGGGTGTATTTTTGAAAATTTGGTATCGTTGACACAAACAGTGATTTCTCAGTTCTGAAACTTCTGAGGAACTTGACATCATTCTTTCAAGGCAGCTATATTTTGTCAACAGCACTAGCTCAAGTCCATTCTTTCTGCAGGTATAGAACAGTCAACTGTGAGCCTACAGAGGAGTATGCAAGCAGATAGGGCCTGGCAGGGGAGGGTCAACGTGTCCTCGTGGCCTTGTGAGAATCTGTCAAGTGTCACTAGTCACAATATAACCCTATCTCCATTTTGTGCTGAGTCTTCTGTGTTACTTAAAACTGCAGATTAGTTGAGCCTTCAGACACACAGAGAAATGTTAGGTAATGAAGAATCCAAGTTCCTAACATATAAGCTTAATGTACATATCTGGGAACAATGTTTTTACCAACTGCTTAAATTTCTTTTCAGCACCAAAATGTGCATTTATTTTTGTAGCATGTTAGCAATAGGAGAGAACAGTTTGGATGGCATCCAAGGACATTTAGATGAACAAATGCTAATTGTGGAACACCTGGTATGCTGTACCAAAACTGGACTCCGAATGTCATGCATTGAATTAAAACTCTGCTCCTTGCCAGTCACCCCAACCAAGAAGATGGTTAATTTCACAGCAGTTTAGGAAACAGGGTCTCTGGTAGATAACTGAGAAAACAAAAGCAGTGACTGTACTACGAGAGATGTGAAGGTGAAGCGGGTCAGTTATACTTAAGAAAAGAATGTGATATATTATAAGAAAACCATGCCCAAGTCACTAGATCAAACATCATTAAATTAAAATGATGACCAGTTATTTGAGGTGGTCAGTTTAGGAAGAGACATCATGTTTCAAGTGCCAGTGACATAGAGTTCAGGTGGAATCTTATCAGAGAACAATGGCTGCTGTAGCCTCAGAAGTCCCAGAACATCTGGATGTGGAGGAAAGGAGGTGCAGCCACTGCCTTGTTCAACAGAAAGGCTGCCAGGACTGGATAGAGGAAGGAAGAGTGAGAAGACGTAACTTCCTCTGATGATTCCAATGATCATCTACACACAAACAGGTATCACCTAGGAGTTGTAATTACAGGGTTAACACTGGGTTATTATACATGCTAGGAACTTACTTTGTCATTTAAACATTTTTCCTTATAAAAAGAATACCTTGTAATATATTAACTATGGAGTAAATATGACAAGTTTCAGCAAACCATTCTTCAAAGGGCTTCTAATGACACGGGATGATTCTCCCTTGGGATATTTTTTCTTAACTGGCCTTGTTAGTTAGAGCTACCATAAATCAACAATTCCCAGGACTCTGCTTCATTAGTTCCCCTATTAGTCTTTATTGTCCCTTTGTTCATGTTTCAGGAAGGTCTATATTTCATCAACTTTAAAATCAAAGAATAAGATCACAGTAAGAAACCAGTAAGATTGTTTCAATTTGAATCATACACATGCTTGCAATGTCTGGGATAAGAAACTCAAATTTCCCTGTATAGACATAGGTATAATTAAAAGGTTAATTTAAATACATGGTGTCATTTATAATTAAAACATGTGAACTTCATTTATAAGTCCTCAGTGGATACACTTTAAAAGACTAAAAGGATAAAAAAAGTCTAACCACTCACTAATCTTCAGATCTTAATATTGTCCCAGGTTTAAACAAATAAGCAAATATGAAAAGGAAGAGAGAGAGGGAGAGGGGGGAGAGAGAGAGACACTGAATGAAGGAACCTAGACATATTTGCATGTCTAAATCTCTTTCTCAATGTACTCAGAATTATTGTTTCTTTTTCATTATTTACCCCAAAGTGATATTGCATATAAAAGGCAAATACAATACCATTAAGGCTGACATTTTAGAAAGACACATTTTATAGTGGGTATTATATTACCCCATTTTACTTTATTAGGTATAAAATAAATGGTCTATAAGAATCCAAAGTATTTCCAAATTAATTTACCTTTTGTGTTTTGGAAATGGAGAGCATCACAATTCCTGGGCTGAACTACAAGAAAAAATGTTTTATTTTACTGAAACGCCTGTCACTGACACTGCCATAGCTATGTTAATCGTGACATTGCTATGATCATTCCTAGACATCATTGTCTTTTCCTAAAGAACCAATTTCTCCTAGCTGACTGGAATTCTAGTATGTGGCGTTCTTTTAGCGCATAAAAATCAAGCTTTGGGGTAAAAGAAACTTTGAAGAAGCTGCTCTTAGACAGGAAGGAGCAGCTGTTCTCAACAACTTCCTTGAAGGGGCCTGGGGGAGCTATGGCTCAAAATTAAATTTTGCAACAGTGTCTTTTAATACAAAAGTTTTCAAATGTTTTAACTTTTTAAAGGCTATTCTGGTTCAAATTATATCTCAGATTTTCGGTATTCATTTGATCTTCCCCCTAATCCTTCAGGTAGTGAACAGTCACAGCCACCCAGGCTTCCTGTGTGATAGGTGGCGGGACATGTAAGGAAGGGAAGTTGACCATTCACTCTTGACATGAAAAAGTAATGAGAGCTGATGCCTTTGAGCACTTCCTGAGTGCATGACAGTGTGATGAAGAGTTTTACAGGCATTCACTCACTTAGTTTTCATAACAATCCCACAATAGCTGGAACTGTTATTATCTCAATGTTGTAGATGAGGAGACTGAAACACAGGAAAGTTTCATGGCTAGTCAGTGGCAGAATGGGCTTTAAAGTCAAGCTTACACTGCATTATACTGGCTCTGTAGTCTGCTGTTTAGTAATAGTGCACTCAAGGGGCATCCCCACAGCTAATACCAAGGGGAGTGTTTGTTTTTGGTTTCTATATGGGAACGATAAAGCTTCCCAAGTATTGATGGTATAGATTAATGAAATATTTCACCATAGGAGCTATGGTGGTTGGGAATTCGATTTTCCTGAGTTGCCTTCTCTGAAGATTCCTTTGTGAACTGTCATTCCTGTTTATGATCACTGAACATACAAATGGCATGTGGGGAATGTTTAGACTTTGGAGGGATAATAAATTATTTCTGGTAAGCTGTCATTAGTACACTGTTAAGGATAGCAGGTTTTGAGTGCATTCCTTTTAGACCCCTAGACCATGAACAGATTATATGCATGAACAGATTACATGCAAGTCATTGTGTGTGCTCATCTCCTTCACAGCCAAACCTCTGGGCGCACTTTCTCCATGATTTATAGGACAGTCTGTTCAGATCACCCTGTCCTTGCCCTTGACCTTGGTGCATACTCAGAGCTCTCACATTGAATATGAATTAATAGAGAGAAATGTGTCTTAAGTGAATAGAGGCACTTAAGGGGATTAACAGCCATTGGTCTATGTGCTAAACAGGCTTGGCAGAGTGTCAAGTCGCTGTTTCATCCCGGTGCAGAATGAATACGCTGGTGTTTCCTCTCAGCACCATGACTGGGAATCCTGGGACACACTGTGTATTCAGACAATTCTGAGATATTTTTCTGAGAGGGGGTATGTATCTGAAATTTATTATGAGCCAAGCAGCAGAGCCTTTGATGGGCTAGGAAAAGAATCTTAAAATTTTCTTCCCATAACCTCGGAAAAAAGTTGACAGTACCAACTTAGAATTAAGGAAAACCTATAAATAAAGAAATAACAAACAAACAAATAAACAAACAAACAAGTAAATAAATGAATAATAAAAACAAACAATAAAGTTTAATCTGTTGTTCATTATAATAGTCTGAGAGCTCAAATACCATGCCCAATAGTCTAGAAAGAGGGTAAGATGATTTTCTAACCAAAATGCAACCAGAAAACATATCATTACGATTTAGGGATGTTTGAACAAAGAAGCTGCCAGCATTATTCACTAAGATTTCAATTGCTTGGGGTGATATGAAATCAGAAAGAACAGATTAGTTAAATCCTTAGTTAATAGAATAATTTTAGGCAGTGCATTCTTGTTGAATAGCAGCTGGCCTAATTGGAAACATGTAAAAATCAACAATTGACTATCTTCTTTGATATCAAGAAAAAAAAGTGCAGTTTTCAGTTTGGATCATAACTTTAAATGCATATTTTGAGTAATTTTGAAACTATTTTAACCTTCTACTATAATTCACAATTAGAAGACAATTGGAACAGTTAGAAAACATACTGAATTACACATATTGTTAGTTTCACAATGGTACGTAAATTTTGGTTATTTATAAATGGATTTTGGGGTACAGTTTCTTGAGATATGTTTACTGATAAGTAACATGCAGTAATATGTTTACTGATAATAAACATGCAAAAGTGCAGTTTATTAAACTATGGATACCCTAAAAAAAGTCTAATGCTACACCGGTACAGTTATGTATGTGACTACAGTTATCAGAGAAGCCAGAGGAAGTCTTCACTGTAGCCAGTCAAGTGCCAGGGCCTTTTCCTTGCATTGTGAGGATGTGACAGATAAAAATTATTCAGATTCTACAGAGGACTGGGCTCCCACTGAACTAATTAAACTTAATGAGCACAAAACAAAGCATATAAATTACCTATGTAGAGGGATACTACTCTCAGAAGTAAATTAAATTAAGATGAAGTGTTAAAAAGAAAAGAAAAAGGGAATAATCCTGTCTCATAACAAATGGCCTATTTTATTACCTTCATAAATAACTGTTCTGGATAGTTTTGCATTCCAGGTGAATTTCTGCTGTGCATCCACGTGTTGGCCTTTAGCGTGCTTGACATTCTCTGCTGTGTGTGCTGACTAATGGACTACACACACAGCTGTGTCCATGCTTCTTTCTGTCTGCAGCCTAACTAGTCAAGAGGCAATGCTTTAGGAATATGGTCTGGGATGCACAGCACATGAACCTGCAGTTTCCATGCCAGATAAAGGGCTTGTTCACTCCAACACAATTGTTCCCATCATACCAAGTGGCCTGGATTCCACGGTGGGCAGATGGACATGACGCAGAATGACAGCAGATGGGGGAGGAGTGGGGTCTGCCAGCTGATGGACACATTTCAAAGACTGGAGGCTTTTAGCCTCTATCTGCCCTCCTCTCCTGCCCCATCACCAAGGCTAATTGGGTTTGCTCATTTTTTTCCTCTTCCATCAAAAGCCCTTACATTGCCCTTTTTTCTTTTGTGATGTATTTTCTCTTTTGAGCTGCTGGGGACATAACCTTTCAATGATTTTACCTCATTGAAAGAATTGGGTACAGAGAGATATGGATGGAAGGGAATTTACCTGGGGCTCTATATACTACTCGGATGGGTGCATTTCACAGGCTACTGTGTAGGTCTTAGAGAAAAAAATTTAAACGGCAAGAAAGAAATGCTGCAACAAACAACTAAACTTCTTAAATTTAAGAGAGGAATTCAGTGATTCCTTGAAGAAGCCACTTAGTAAGGCGCTAACTTTACAGCACAAACTGGAAGTTGAAGTGTGGGCTCTGGAGCCACGCTCCCTGGGTTTGAATCCCAGGCCTGGCACTCATTAGCGGTGTGAGCTTGGGCAAGTAACTCAGGCTTCCTGTGCTTCAGTTTCCTCAGCTGATGACCAGGGCCGTGAGAACAAAAAGAGTTAATCCATGTAAAGGGCTTAGGAGAGTGTCTGATTTGGTAAGCAGTCAATACATGCTAAACATTTTGTTACTTTGTTAGCAAAGTACTTTTGTTTACCATCTATACACTACTTACTTCAAACATGAATTAAGGCATCATTCCAAAGCAAAACATACTAAACAAAAACTGAGAAAACTGAAAATAAAAGAGGGCAAAGATCCGTAAGATGGTGAGAAAAGGACATGCGCCAGGTGCAGGGTGAGTTGAAGGGCGTGCCAGGAGCCATCAGGAGACAGCCCTGAAACTTGTGTGTGATGTGGTTCTGTCTGCCTGATAAAGGAAGCATGTAGACTTTTCTTGTGAAACAAACTTTTTGAAGCATTTACTTCTCAGCCATTTATTATGTGGATGCTTAAATTGGGAGAAGTAAAGAGCAAATCAATTTCTCAAAAAACATTAGAAAATGACTAAGTTCTAGAGATCTGTGGCTGCCAGGGACTGGGGAGGCCCAAGGCGCCGGGTGAGGGCGTGACTCTGAGGGGTAGCCTGAGGGGGATCTCTGTGGTGGTGCCATTGTTCCATACCTCGATTGCAGTGGGGGTTACACACCTGACAAATGGCACAGAACCAGACACACACAATGTGCCAATGTCATTTCCTGGTTTTGACATTATATGATAGCTATGCAAGAGGTAACCATCGACAGGTATTGGATACAGGGTACATGGGACCTCTCCTTACTATGGTTGCAACTTCCTGTGAATGTATAATTATTTCAATATGAAAAGTAAAAAAAACCCCATCAGATACATTTTTCAAATAGATATTACTTATAGCACCATTAAAATATCATGGCATGATTGGCTTGAGTTTTTATTTTGATTGGAGAGAGTTAATTACTTTGAGATAAATTTAAGAAATTTCTTTCTTTAAGATAATTTTAACTATTTTTATCTTTCCTCAGCCACCCCAAAATCTCAGAGATCTTGCCATATCCTTTAGTCACATAAATCAAAAAGTTAGTGTTTATTTTTTAACTTGCATTTCTTTCTGCATCCAGGCTTGGATTTTCCTGCCCAGGAATGGCAAGCGGCTGAGCCCCTCAAGTTCTCACGAATCCGTGTTCAACCGTGTGCTCACTGTCTCTATCCACATGGAAGCAGTCATTTTGATTCTGAAGTCTTTGATTTATATCAATATTTCTGGGTTACTTTCTGTAACAGGATTATATTTAGGTACAGTAGTGCTTGCTCTCTTTTCCTATCTTCTTTTTTGGTCAGCTATTCTCTGATGCTGAGCCTCTGAAATCTCAAAGATTCTCAAAGTGACAAGCACTGAGTTTATCTGAATTTATCTGACTTTCTGAGAGGTACATTACACAGCTGCAGGGCACGATAAGACAGGAGCCACCTCTCAGGTGATTTATGAATCTGGCAGCTGCCTTTTGTTTGCCTATATCCTGCTTCAAGCACTAGGCTCCACTGGGCTGGTGCTCTGACTGGCGGTGCGGAGGAACCTGGGCACTCACCTTTCATCTGCACGAAGTCGAGCTGGTGAATGGACTGCAACAGAGGGCTGTTGTCCAGACTCAAGTCGAAGTCCGTGGTCATCCTGGGAGTGAGCGTGCCTTTCCCCCACTGGTCCTCAGTCAGGTGCACTCTCCTTATGAGGGCGTCAGAAATCTAATCACATCAAAGACCACAGCCTAAGAAACATGCCACCACAGTGAACACAGAGCACTGTTCCTCGACTCTGCTGGAGTGTTACTGCCAACCTTCCTTGGGACTTACGCCTTCCTGTCTCCGTGCAGGTGGGAGGAACCTGTTAGGATGAGGGTGACCCAAACTGGACACTTTTGTGTGTCAGAGGAGGTGACATAAACAATTAACAGCTGTTAATTGCTCTAATAGACAAACCTGGACATATGATCATGCTACTTATGACTGATCAGTTAAAACCCAATTGTGTAAGAGGCTGCATATGATGATCTGTAAAATGGAATTTCTTACACTATAAGCCATCATCTTCCTATTTCCCTCTATTGTTTGGCAGGGAACATTTTCATTTCTTACATTTAGTCTCTGCCACTCTTGGCCAGTTTGGTAGAGAGTTGCAAGGGATCTACATATTCCTTAATAAAAGATCCCTTAATCATTGGGATTGAAACAAGTAAAATTCAGCTGACATCACAGCATCTTACTAAAACAATGAACACTGAAGAAATCATGAGTTATCTGAGGAATGAAAAACTTCACTCTTTTTGGGAAAGCACCAATTTACTGGCAGTAGGAGGTGTCCAGAAGGGAGAAACCTGGCATAGTTAGACATTTCTAGCCAGCTAAACTGTCCAGGAGATATTAGTGGGAAAGGACACAATTCTTAGGCAATAACTCTGCTTTGGGGGAACTTACATGGAATCATGTTTTCAAGATTAAACACAAGAACAGAAACAAACAAACAAAAGGAGGCCCATGCACTTCTCAATCTTGTAGCACGAGGTGGCAGAGGCTTCCAGGAAGTCAGTGAGTGGAGGTTCGCAGGCACCCGCAAACACCCAGCAGTGTGAAGGTAGGTTCTCTTATGGAGGGACCCATGTCCAGCCAGGGCCACTGGGAGTCTGGCCTTGGTGGACTCAGTCTCTTGGGACACTGAGAATCTAAAGTGGAACCTAATTGTACTTACCTGCAGAAAGCCGCTAGGATCGTTTTCCTTAATCACCTCCAGGCAGTACTCCATGAGACCCGTGGTCTGGCGCAGTTTCACCGTGCAGTGAGAGATCTGATCTCGAACCACCTGGGAGTGATGGCAGAACAGAATGGTGCAAAATGGCAGAGAGCAGGAAAGAAGCAAACTGGGACTTTGGAAAGCTTCTTCAAACCAGAACCTAAGAGCACCACGGAAGGAGACTAAATTGATGAGGCTACTTTGTGGCAGTGTCTGCTGTGGCAATGGCCCCAGAGGACAGGTTAGATAATAGCTCTGACAGGAACTTGTAACAACAGGATCCATCAGAAAGGCTTGCAGACTGAAATCATCTGCTTACCTTGGCACCTGGCCCCCTTGCTCCCCTCTTCTGGGAAGCTGACGATCCTGAGTGGCTCTACGTGGGAGGTCGTGGAGAGTCTGTATAGCTGCTGAGCCATCTGAGGTTCGGCTGCAAGTTCTGCTCTCTGACACAGTGGCCCCCTGTCTCCCACCCACTGCCTGTCCCTTCTACACAGCAGACATCACTGTCAGAACCCAGTTCCTTTCTCATTCTGATCCTTTTTCTTCAGGTGGGTGGTGGGGTTGGGCTAGAGGTGGAACTTGCTGAAAGACAATGAGCTAATGACAACTAAGCCAGAGAAAGATAGATGCAGAATTGTTTTAACAATAACCCACTCAGAATCAACTCATTCTGGAAACCAGTCTTAAAGGCTGCTCTATTTGCCCAACTGTGAGTCAGCATTAACCCAGAAAGGCATTCTGCCTTTGGGAAGTTGTCTTTGCCCAGAGTCAAACGCATGACAGCCCCCGAAAAGCTTCTTTCTTTAGAGATGCTCGTCTTCTGTGTCCTCTGCTCAGTGACCCAAATCCTAAAGTGGTTTCTGAAGCACAGAACTGAATAAGAGTTTTCTAGGAACCTCAATCACTTACATCCTAGATGTTTTATGCTATTTTGCAAAAGCCTCAGAAACATCTGACATTACAGATTTTATAGCCAATAACTAAAATGAGTTTTAATAATAATTCTTTAACAACTTTTCCTTGTTCCTTCTTTTCATTTTTACTATTAATTTATTTTGCTTTGAAGATTATTATATACTTTCCAAAACAATTGGAAAATAGATGGCGGGGAGAAGCAAATTATCTCACCTCTCTGATACAAATTTTTAAAGCATTTGGTATTTCTTTTTAGTTTTTTTTCCCTGAGTTAGATTTATTTATAGTTGCAATCATAGCATGTGGTAATTTTACCCCCTTCCCACTTATCACTCTATCATAAGGCTTTTTTCATGTTGCAACCATCAGTAAATTCTATTGGCTATATAAATATCTCATTGAGTAGAGTATCGTAATATATTTGACCATTTCTGTTCCCCTATTTTTGGACATTTAAGTTCTTCCTACTTTTTGACAATTCTTTCATTCATCATTACTGATTTTTGCTTATTTATTTTAATAAAATACACATAACATAAAATTTACCATTTTAACTATTTTTACTTGGACAATTCTATGGCAGTAAATACATTCACAGTGTTGTGAAACCATCACCACCATCCATCTCCAGAACTTTTTCATCTTTTCAAATGGAAAATTTGTACCCATTAAACAACTCTCTTCTCCCTTCTCCCCAGACCCAGGCAAACATCATTCCACTTTCTGGCTGGATTTGATTGCTCTAAGACCCTCATATAAGTGGAGTCATATAATATTTGTCCTTCTGTGACTGGCCTATTTCACTTAGCAAATGTCTTCAAGGTTTATCTATGTAACTTGTATCAGAATTTCCTTCTTTTTAAGACTGAAGAATATTACATTGAAAATATGTACCACATTTTGTTTATCCATTCATCCGACAATGGACACTTGGGTTGCTTCCACCTTTTGGGTATCATGAATAGAGCTGTTATGAACAGGGGTGTACAATATCTGTGTGAGCCCCCATTTCACTTCTTTTGGGTATAGACCCTGCAGTGGAACTGCTGGATCATATGTAATTCTTTTTTAATTTTTTGAGAAATTATCACACTGTTTTCCACAGTAGCTGCATCATTCTACATTCCCACTGGCAATGTACAAGGGTTCTAATTTCTCCACATCCTCACCAACACTGATTATTTTGTTTCTTTTTTAAAAAAATTACAGACATCCTAATGGGTGTTGAGAGCTATCTCATTGTGGTTTTAATTTGCATTTCCCTAGACAAGGGATGTTGAGCTTCTTTACATGTGCTATTGGTCATTTGCATATTTCCCTTGAAAAAATGGCTATTCAAGTCCTTTGACTATTTTTTATTGGGTTGTTTATTTTTCTGTTGTCTTTTGAGATACAAAATTTATAGATTTTCATAAAGTCCAATTTGTCTACTTTTTCTTTTGCTGTCTGTTCCTTTGGTGTCATATCCAAGAAATTATTTTCAAATCCAGTGCTGTGGAGTGTTTTCTGTAGTCTTTGATCCATTTTGAGTTAATTTTTATATATGGTGTTAGGTCCAACTTCACTCTTTTGCATGTGGATAGCTAGTTTTCTCAGCATCATTTGTTGAAAAAATGACCTTTCCCCATTGAATGATCTTTGAACCCTTGTCAAAAGTGACTTGACTGAATATGTGAGAGTTTATTTCTGGGCTCTCTATTCAATTCCTGTGGTGTGTGTATCTTTAATACTGGCTTTAAGCCAGTACTATACTGTTTTGATTATTGTAGCTTTATAGTGAGTTTTGTAATGAAGAACTATGAGAACTCCAATTTTGTTCTTCTGTTTTAAGATTATTTTGGCTATTTGGAGTCTCCTGATTTTTTTGACAGATGATTTGCTATTGCTTTTACACTTTCAATATAATTAAAATAAAAATAAAAGTGGGATTTAACATCTTTAGTGGAATTAATGAAAGAAACCAACTTTCATGTGAAGATTTTTGTTTTGTGATTTTGGTGGGGAGGGTGGAGGAATAAAAATAAATCAATTTAAGATTGATTTATTTTCTTCTGGCATCTACTATGTTTCTGTCAAACCAACACCACCGTCTGTCGGTCTGTGATAAAGGAACACAAATTATTTTATTTTTTAATCAGAAAAGAAACAGGAAGGTTAAGTTTCTACTTCTTGGGCAGAAAAAACCCACCCACTAGTAAAACATTTAAAAGTGCCAAGACAAATGACCTATATCTAATATGCCACTATTCTCTGCTATATAAGGCTTACCTACATTGCTCCCATAAGGTGTTTCTGTATTTTGGTAGCCAGCACAACAACACTGCCAGATAGCAGAAACCTCGGCAGTCATTATTCACTACCCTAATGGCATCTGCCAGGAATATGCCTGGCACTAAAAGTCCAAATAACAAGCACATACCTGATCAAAGCACAGTAACACAAAGTGAGTCTGCTCCTGAGGCAAAATAGACTAAATTGTTGTGTTCACTTTCCAGAGCATTCGGCTCAATGATAATTTTACGGCCTAAATGTGCTGAAATAAATACAATACTTATGCCTCATGAAATTTTTTTTTTTTTTTTTTTTTAAAGATTTTATTTATTTATTTTGAGAGAGGGAAGGGAGAGAGAAAGAGATAGAGGGAGAAACATCAATGTGCGGTTGCTGGGGGCCGTGGCCTGCAACCCAGGCATGTGCCCTGACTGGGAATCGAACCTGCGATGCTTTGGTTCGCAGCCCGCGCTCAATCCACTGAGCTACGCCAGCCAGGGCTGCCTCATGAAATTTTAAGTCTGCTTTTATAAATTTCTTTCTCAAGCAAGGTTTATTTGGTGCCCAAGGAGCTATCTGAGTGTTGGGACTCCCTGGCTACTCTTAAGAAGCTTCACTGCTGCTCCGCCAAAGATTTGGTGAGTGTCAGTGGGGTTTGCTGTGGCTCCTGCATGCCACGGGTCAAACTTCTTCTGCGGACTCAGTCTCCCTGAGTTCCTGGCTCTCAATTCTCATTGTTACAATAATAGATTCTGGTCTATCTTTTTACATTTTAAACCAATCATTTCACGATAATCACCATAGCCTGTGATAAAATCACTGCTAAAATTACGCTACGGAGTCCCCAGAAGTAGCATTTTTGGGTGCACTGTAATTGACTTCTAGTTTCTGAATTAACTTAGAAAGATTCCCCATCTTATGAAAATCAACTATATAGTTAGAACTTTTAAAAGTATAAATATTTTTTTCTCTGAGTGTCTCTATCAGCCCTCTTACTTGCTCCCTTCCTCGCTGTTACTTCTACACCTTTTATCATTATTTATTTCTACATTGTAATTTGTATGAAAAACAATTCCCAGGAAGCGCCATGTCTCTTTTTCTTTGAGTTTCATGTTTCTGTGCTGTAGCTCTGATGCTCCAGAGAAACCCCTGGCACCACCTCACAGCTGGTTGGACTCAAGAGCCCCCTTTCTTAGGAAACGTGTGAGTTGCAGGAATGACACAAACAGGGGCGGTAGCACAGCCTTCCTGCTTTCATCTGCATTAAAGTCTAAGCCAGCCCTCCTGGGATAATGAATTAATCTGTGGTCCGTAGTTTCAGAGAAGACTTTCACCATTTTATCAGCAGTCAACATCTGTTCTGGATGGCAAGTGCCTAGTAATCATTTGAACTGTTTTATTTTGTTAAGTGGCGAGTTTATAAAGGAGAACCCGAGAATGGACTGGTATCCCGTTGAATGCTCAGACTTTTGTCAGCAGCATAGAGCAGGCCACAATGGCTTCTACAACACAAATCCAAAATTTTGTGCTGCCTACCCCAAACTACATTTTCTCATTCCATCTCTAACAAATCCATCCCTTTCCTCCACTCATATCATGTGACACATCCAGCAGCAAGCACTAAGGTTAAATAAGGGTAATTTTATTATTCTATCTGATTATTTTACCTTGATACCCTTCCTCTACTTCCATTCATCTCTTCATCTTATAGGTGGCTCTTTAAATTTTTCTTTATTTCTTTTATTCAATAAATATTTTTTTAATAGCATTCTCTCTCATCATGGCATCTGGAGGGATACTTCTAATGACTTTTTACTCTAAGCAAACACTAACATTCCCTTTTTCCTATTTCCAGAAATTCTTCTAAAGGTGCCCAACCT